AGCCGAAATCCCCGATGCCGTTGATACGAAATTACATGCAGTTATGACCAAGAATCCATCCATAGACCTTGCGCAAAGTTAACAGCATAAAACCAGTAACGGAAGACCTCAAGTACGAAGCCGTCTGCATTAACAATGAATGTCGGGCATCAGTTCTAAGTGCCTCTCTCACCTCGGCCCCATTGCCAGCACTGAAAATTCGTTCTCTTGTAAATTACTTTAAATTTATTTTACAATGCTCCCTATTCGAAACGAGAACGCTTTTAGGAAAACTGAAAAGAACATGTTTCTGCAATTTCACATCATTTTGTTGGACTATAACATGTACAATATTACAGTCCAACAAAACTAGGAAATACAGTTTCAAAATCTTATCGCAATAAGTTTTGTCATTCGTATATTTTGTAAAATGAATAATTGATTAATTTATTAAATTTTATCATTACAACGGTTAAGTATTGGGGCATAGTCCACCACGCGACTCCAATGCGGAATGGCGGACTTCACATATCTTCGAAATATTTTTTGTTATTATTTTGAGGTTCATAGTTAATGCAGGTTTCCTCACGATGTTTTCCTTCACCGCTAAGCAAGTGATAATTTAGCACTTAAAATTAACAACTTCGTTGGTGCCAGCACCGGAGATCGAACCCAGATAGCTCGAGTATATTGTCAAATCAAATCATAAGCGAGCGCTCGGACAATGAACTATCACGGCTCTGCGTAAATTTAGCTTGTCGTTAATACAATGTTGCGTCGTTAGAATCAATATCAAATAGTGTAGTGACGATATTAAATTAACGTGAATAGTAATAAAATTCATGAAAAAGAAGTATAATTATGTTAAAAACCGTAATTATGTTAAAAAAATTAGCACAAAAGTATTAAAACGTGTGTATGAGGTGTCATGAATTTATTTCTAAATCTACTTTTATTACATTTTGTCATGTTTTGTTAAGTCAAAATAAATATTATGCTGATAAGCTTTGTATTGAATTAATTTCACTATTCGTTTTGCTCTAAGTTTAATTTAAATTATTACTTTTTATGATTTGATTCTAAACTGCTTATACAAAATTTGCTTTTTATATAATAAACGATTCTTTATAACCCATTATGCAAATAATTTAAACATCATACATTTTTCGCACTAAGCTTTTAGTTCCACACCAAGAAAAATTAGTTTGTGCGTAAATAAATATCGAATAATTGTAGCGGTCTAAATTTGACCATAATTAAATACATGGTAGTGTGTGTGTAATGTTTTTTTTTTATTGATCGTCCCTGCAATTTTGGAAAAAAGAGATACAAAGTTTTTGCTTAACGTTTTAATATATAAATTACAAACTCATAACTTCTGAGCCCCACAAGTAAACAAAAAATAACGAACATGATTTTTCCAACTTAAATGGAAAATTTAACTTTTAGTTAAAGTTCTTCTTTTGTTTTAAACCCAATAACTTTCATTGAAATCCGTTGAGCCGTGTCGTAGCTCGTAGCCCATGCGAGTGAAACTTTTAGGCAGACTTTATCGAGGCATCGTATTAGCATTATAGGCATATATAAATAGACAGCAGTTTCCACTACAATTTTAATGTTCTTTTTGAAATCACGGACAGACTTAAATTTTACTATAGTTTTTTTTTAATGTGATAAAGTGGCAAACTAGCTGGCGGTTCACCTGATGTCAAGTGATAACCGCCGCCCATGGACTTTTGCAAAACCCATAGGGTTGCAAATGCGTTGCCACCTTTATATAAAGTGGACTCCAGCTACCTCACTCACCAGACGAAACGCAGAAGTGTACCGCTTCTACTTTACGCCGGTATTCTGTGAGATCGTGGTACTTACCCGGACGGACCTGCCCATTCTTGCGTGTCTGTACCACAGTTAAATATAAGTAAAAGACAAATAAAATTTAAAACACATGCATATGCATGCAACGAAGAGCATGGGATGATTTTTTAAATCATCCCATGCTCTTCGTTGCATGCAAAACTAAACTCGGTAAATGTAATAAAAGCGCGGATGACTAAAGTTAAGTAACAAACTATAAATGTCCCACAGCTGGACAAAGTACGAGGGTCAATCCCAACCTAAGGAGTCCCCGCCGTTGGGTTCCCGCCTTGTCGTGGCGCAGAGGCTCAGTAGCCGTGATTTGGTCACCCACAGCGAAGCCAAGAGGAGCCCACACTGGGCCGGCCTGTGGTGTACGGCCTGTTTGCGCACGCTGTTCCACCCAAGCGCATCGATATGCCAACATAACCCGTCCTCGTCCCCGCGATGACGGGTATGTGTACGCTTTTCCCAAGTTAACAAAAAGAAGGATTGATTTACAGAAAGTGAAAAGGAAGGAGAAAGAGGCCAACATCGGAGCCGAAGTTTGGTCTAAAAATTTCTATCTACGTCGGAAAGCGTAATGTTCACGCGTGTCTAGTAGTGTCGCGTATCTGGTTCGCGTGGGGGTTATCAGAAGTAACCACGAGCCTCCCTAATGGGGTGTTTGACGCATGGAGAAGGAATTATTCCAATGGTCATACTGTTTGAAAAGGTCAGGCCAGAGGCCAAATGTCGAACGTTTGCAAGCGTTTACCTCGATTCACATTGCTTTTTAGAAGTAAACTAGCGAGCCGCCCGGCTTCGCACGGGTGCAATGAATTATACATATAAACCTTCCTCTTGAATCACTCTATCTAGTAAAAAAAACCGCATCAAGATCCGTTGGGTAGTTTTAAAGATCTAAGCATAGGGACAGACAGACAGCGGGACGACTTTGTTTTATACTATGTAGTGAAATAGCTACTAAGTACTTACATTATATTTCACAGGACAGAAGCGAATTGGAGACCTATTCATTCATTGTGCTAAACGGTCCCGAAGAGCATTCGTCTGTTTGATGGTATCTCAAAATAGGCTCGCTGGAACGCAGCCAAAGAGCGAGCGGAGTGGAGTGGAATGGACTATCATCCACGCTGCCATTTCACCTTATTAAACGCTCAAAATCTATGATGCGCTTGAAGAGGACTGTCGAGAGAATAAAGAGGGGACATCACTTCACTTTAACGGACGTGGTTTGTTTTATCGCGATTAATCTGCTGCTACACTGGCAGTAACGACAGCAGAACAGAGAGCGATTATAGGCCTTATAACAAGATAACTTAATAATTTAGGTTGATTGAATTTATTTCATGCCTTACGTCCGATCCGATTTTTTTTATGTGAACAAAGTTGCGTACAAAACGAGAAGACGGTTCACCTGATAGTAAGTGAATACCGCCGCCCATGGACATCTACTACACCCGAGGGTTACAGATGCGTTGACAACCTTTTGAAAATTGGGCTCCGGCTACCTCACTCACCAGACGAAACGCGAAAGTATTTGTCATACTTCCACTTTACGCTAGTCTTCTGTGAGGTCACGGTACTTACCCGGATGGGCCTGCCCATTCGTGCAACAGCCGACGCTGCTGCGTGGCCTACCACCGTAAAAATCGAACCGATCGAATGTTGTCTTCGCTTGAATCCCTTTTATATTGGCCACAACCGAATATTATGGTTTTAAATAATGAGTTTAGTTTAAACTTCGTTTTACGCTGAAAAAACATGTCCAGAAAATTACCTTGTTAACCGATTATTCGATACAACCATTGCCCAATTTAGTTGCTAAAGTTTAGTTACTAAAAGTTAATAAGTTTGTTAATTTAGGTGCTAAAATATCGCACTCCTGTGTATAGTTGGATACAGTTTTTAAAAATGAAATGATTTCGAGCGTGATTTCCGACAATGACCGAAACAACACGAACGCTAATAATTCCAAAACCCAAAATAGCACTTCGGTTGAACTGGAATTGGATCTGTCCTATCGAACCGTAACTAACGTTTCTTTGTATAGATCTGTAAATTTTATAAATAGCTCATATGCTAATGATTTCTTGTTTCCGCTGGAATTATACACATTGTCAAGTATAATCTATTTATTGGTTTTTCCACGATTAATTTTGTTCTATAATAACGTTTTTATTTCCGCGCGAACATTTTACAGAGATTATGGTCAAACAGCCTGAGATTTGAGAGACCCACAAATAATTGTTCCGGATCTGGAGTGTTCGTTTCCCAAAAAAGGTTGACGAAAACCGGTCGTAAAAACGTGGCCAAAACCGCATACAATTTGATTTATATTCCGACCCCACCTAGATGGAATAAGGGCAGAAGGATGATGATGAGACTTACGCCCAGTTTCTGAAACACTGATCATCGTAGTCAACTAAACAGCTGTCATGCTATTCAAATGTCATTTGATTTGCCAAAAGGATTTTTAAACTCTTTGAATCGATCAGAATGATCACTACAAATAGTTTAACAATACTTTTAGCAACTGAAATAGTATTTGAAAAGTCATTTGACAGCTGATTAGTTGATTTCTACGATGATCAGTGTTTCAGAAACCGGGCGTGAGATATTCGAATAATATAAGAGAAATCGAATTTCATTCGACAATTTAGTTACGTTTAACAATTTTTGTGGTGTCGCCAATGTTAAGATAAGAATGTACTTCTAGTCAAAATGTCGCGCTTAATGAACGGTTATAATCATTCTTACAAATAAAACGGGCTATAATGGAAAAAGGATAAAATTTTACCAATCCTGGGATACAGAAAACAATTGTAAACCCTCTTTTATGGAGAAGGACCCATTAATTCCAGATTTAAACGAAAATTTATTATGGAAGAAATAAAAAAGCCTTAAAAAATTATTAAAAATTAAAAGAAAATGATATTTTTTTTATTTTAAATGATACGAGTCTCATCATTAAAGTAGCTCCGTAGCATCTAAAACATTACATTAAACCAAGAAATCTTTTGTTTTTTGTAACTCGCAACTTGGTAGCTTTAAAGAATCAACTGTCCGTTGCGTAAAAAAAAATAATCAGAATATAATTATCATTTTCAAATAATACAAATAAGTTATAGTAAAAGATAATAAACTTATTTAGTACTCACGTAAACAGAATATTTTCGCCAGCATGGTGAGCGTAGTATCAAAGACCGCGAAGAAATTATTCCTAGCTACCATGCGATAAAGCATTTTGATTTCCCTAGAAACCGTATCGCTCGACGACTTCACGGGGCCTTTCTTTATAACATTTATGTTAAAAGTTTAATCGATTTATTATTGCGATAGGGGGGGGGGGCAACGAAAGCTTTGTCTGATGGTTTGCACATCTGCTAGGGTTAAGACGAACTGGTGGCGAGGAATATTTTTGAGGTTTTATACCGAGCGAGTTGGTGGAATGGCGGACATTTTGTGACGTCACATAGACAGAAATCAATCCTTCGGGGCATGCGCAATGTTTCTCCTTGGCCTATTTCATGGCGGCGATGCGTGGCCGTGACGGATGCCCGCTCAAATATAAGCCACTCAAAATGGCTGACATTTTTTATGAATGAACATACCACGGTCATTCAATCGTTATTTTTAGACAGGGTCACTTGACCTGAAAACTTCGATTTAACTAATATTTTGTTGTCTTCCGTGTAATTCTGTTATGAATTTAATAAGTTGGTAATGACTTAATAGCCTAGGGTTACAAAACTATTTTTATTTCGTATTAATTTGGACCATGGTGTAAGCACTTAAGTGTGTGTCAGAATTGATGTTCAATTTAATATTCCTCTGTCGATTATTTGTTTTTATTTATAGATTATGACGAGAAAGTATAAATGGAAAAAAAACATTTTTCATTTAAACAATGTCATATACATTAGTAAGACACAATAGTTACCTATTCATATGAATTAACCGAGGCAACTTAGGTACCTACTGTTTATTTAACACAACTATTTTGCACAAATAACACAAAAGAACTTTTATTGCTATATGTATTTACTAGACATGTTTCTTTTTATTACAATAAAGGAGAACTTGAAGTATTCTAATCGTTCAGTGAGTAAAATGCGTACCTAACTAATATACGAGTGACCACAATTAAGATTACGGTCTGTAAACTCGGTTAATGAACATATATTTTGCAAAATTTTAAGTTTGACATCACCAAACTCTAAAAACAATCGTCAGATATTAAAAACCTGAGAGAACGGCATATTTTTGTCGTATTTATTATAAATGTGTCGAAATTAATAAGTCATTTTTGTTGTTGCTTTCCTATTGCTGTTATTTTGCTCTCAGTTACTTCTTACTAATATTATAAAGGCGAAAGTTTGTATGTATGGATGGATGTTTGTTACTCTTTCACGCAAATAATACTGAATGGATTCTAATGAAACTTTACAATAATATAGCTTATACATCAGATTAACACATAGGCTATAATTTATATACATATTTTTATGTAGAGCCGTGATAGCTCAGTGTCCGGGCGCTCGCCTTTAATTCAATATACTCGAACAACCTGAGTTCGATCCACGGTGCCGGCACCAATGAAGTTTTTAACTTTAAGTGCTGACTTATCACGTGCTCCGCGGTGAAGGAAAACATCGTGAGGAAACCTGCATATTTTCGAAATAATAACAAAAAATATTTCGAAGATATGTGAAGTCCGCCAATCCGCAGTGGGGCCGCGTGGTGGACTTTGCCCTGATACCCTCTATATAGAGGAGGCCTTTGCCCAGCAGTGGGACATGTATAGGCTGTTACTTTACTTCTTTTTTTTATGTATATCTGTCTGAATGTTACACCTTCGGCCTTTTCTACGCAGACGTAGTCGCGGGCAGCAGCTAGTAATAAATATTCTTTTATTCTTGTACAAAAATAACCTTAGCCTAGTAACGTTCTATGCCGACCATGAAGATATAATACTTTAATATGATAGTTTCGCAGTGGCATCTCTTGTTGCTTGTATGGCACGACTTGACCGGGTAAGTACTACACTCTCGGTCAGGGGTGAAGTAGGAGTGTTTCTAGTTTGGTATTTCTTCTAAGGGGCGGCTCTATAGCTGTTGCGCTTGTCTATGGACGATGTTCTATACAATCGTGTATCGAAATAAAAATAACTTCAAATTCAAAACTAAAGTTCAGTACTAAAGTTTACATCAATTAAAATTCAACGTGAAAGATTTCAGCGCAAAAAAAATGTTATAATAGCTCCGTCGGTAATCGGGCGGCCCCGAAACAGAAGGCCGTGATTCGTGTCATGATCGTTTACACACTTATTTTTCGATTCCAGATCATTGCTTTCTCTATTTTTTATTTTTTGTCGATCCAGATGATTTTGTTATTTTTTCCCTTTTTTTTCAAGTTCTTTCTTTATTGAAAAACACCAGTTCATATTTTCTTATTATTACGCCGGTAAGATCGAAAAATATTATGCATAATATTTCATTACTCAGTAATTTGTATCTAAATGTAATTTCCAAAATACATGATTTACCAAAAAAAAAGGTACATCCTCTAGGTACTAGATATATAACCACCCAGATACTGGAAAAATATTGTGTGATGAACACAGTGGGAATCGAACCCACACCCTCTGGCGCAGGAGACAGGTCCACTATCCACTACGCCAATTGGATCGTCTGGGTCTATGTCTAATATTGTCTCATACTCAAACGTTAAGTTTCCTTATATAGGTGGTAGGGCCACTATTCAGCTTCGGCTGTTGCACGAACGGGCAGGTCCGTCCGGGTCAATACCACGACCTCACAGAAGTGTTATAATTCTGCGTTTCGTCTGGTGAGTGAGGTAGCCTGCGCCCCAAATTGTACAAGTTTTACGTCTTTGATTCTTACCTAAGTTATTTGAATTATATTTTCCTGAATGTTCTTGAATCTTCTAATGCTCACGCACGTGTTGCACGAAAGACATGATCGCCCGAGTAAGTACCGCAACCTCACAGAATACGGACCAGAAGTGTTACCGCGGCTTGTCTACTTAAAAGTTGGCAATGCGGCTGTAAGTCCACGGATATTTTAGAGGTCCGTAGGAATGTATGCCATAGGTGTTGTATGCTGCAAAGGACACAGACGAGATGCGCCAAGCATTGCTAAAAAAATGTAAAATGCAATAAAGCGAACGTAGATAGATGTCAAGATTTTAGCGACGTGAGGTCATCGGCCGCTTAGCTGTTGGTAAATCTTCTGGGCGCGAAACCAAAAAACGCAGGATCGAATCCACAGGTATTCAAATCACTTAACGTCAGATGACCAACTTGTTTGCCATCTTTTCTTATAAATAAAACGAATATTTTTCGGATTCCGTCGCATGTACCTACACGAGGATGTTTTGGAGATGAGTTAACCGGCACCAGTCTGAATCGCAGTCGGAGTCTGTGGGAAGTACAAGATTACAATAGTAAAGGTAAACTTAATAACATGTAATAGAAACGCAATATCAGTATCAGTATCTTTAATCAATACTTAAATATTAATAAGATATATTGCGATGGGCCGGCCATATAGCTCGTAGAACCGATAACCGTTGGGGAAGAAAGGTTCTCGAGTGGCAGCCTCGTACTGGCCATCGCAGTGTGGGACGACCCCCCACTAGATGGAGTGACGACCTGTGCAAATGTGCGGGAAGTCGATGGATGCAGGTGGCTCAGGATCGTACTTCGTGGCAGTCTATGGGGGAGGCCTATGTTCAGCAGTGGACTCAAACAGGCTGAAATGATGATGATGATGATGAATAAGATATAACACAGACGTACATAAGTATCGACGACATCGTAAAACAGTGGCCAATTTACATACCCTATTACTAAGACTTCACTGTATGTCTGTCTGTTCGTCTGTCACCAGGCTGTATCTCGTGAACTGTGATAGTTAGACAGTTGAATTTTTCACAGATGATGTGTTTCTGCTGCCGCTTACCATTGTTATAACAACAAATACAAAATAAAAACGTTTAAGTGGACATTCTTTTTTTCGTTTTTATAGATAATGGTATGGTACCCTCCATGCCCGAGTCCGACCAGTTTTTCTAACAAATATCATCAGTGGAATTGCATAATAAACTAAAATATATAAGTTGAAGATATATTTTGCTATTAAACACGATTTTACTTGGTTCGACAACGCTTAGTCACAAATTTACAAGGTCCTTTTAGTGTTCACAAGTGGACTTGAACAAGCGAAGCTTAAATGATTCTAACAATCACTTCAGTGCGCCTTCTAATGCAATTACAGATCTAGAAAACACGTTGTTAAATGAAACTATTTTCTACCAAGGATTTCTTCATCAATAGTATATTTTATATTCTAAGAGCCTTACCCAGCAAGAAAAAGTATGTGTTTAAAGTTCTAAGGGTTATATATCAAAGTAGTTTTTTGATTTTAAGGTAACCTTCGATCCCCTTTTTTAACCGACTTCAAAAGAGGAGGTTCTATGTTCGATTGTATGCATATATTTTTGTTTAGAACGAAGTTCCTTATGGCACGTGATACTCTGCACAATTTGCCAATGAGCTCAAAAGTTAAGAGAAAACGTAAAACATTTACCGCGACACTTTTTATTCTACAACTTTTGGTTAACTTTTTAAAATGGCTTGGTCATTTTGCATTGTTTGCAATCGCTATGCAGAATGTTACGCTGATACCACCTAGCACCGGTTTCGTGGCGGACATATAATGTCCTACACATCATGGGTCGGGTGGCCTTGCGTAACAAAAGTTTGTGCCTTAAGGGCATTTAACACGAGGCGTTCTCTTAATTATAAAACAAACACGGCTGTTTGCACTTATGTTTTTAGAATACATGACGAATGTCATTCTGGAGTCGAAAGTGACACCTAGGAATTAGACTTTTATACATTTATGCCGTATAATTTTATTTGCCCTAGATTCTTGATCTGGTGAGCTCGGGTCATTTAGAGGTTTGGATTGGCTATTATGTTAGCATATTCCATCATTATTCTCGGGGTTGACGTACATTCTCCATCTGTAAAACCAATAAGAATCAAAAATCATCAAGGTGGAGCTTTGGAGGTGAGATGTTTATCCGAGTAGTATAGGGCTGCATCATCCGCGAAAAGCACGAGTTTAACTTGTAAGTCTCATGGGTTATCAGTCACGTAGAAGGAGAGGCAGGAACCTTGAGGAACACCTTCCGTGACAAGGCGACTCGTGGAGACAGTAGCCTGTCTTGTACGTTCAATCCGAATAGCTTTGTGTTGTGACTTTTATAAGTAGAAGAAGAGAGCTCCTTTTATAATGCGTTTACGGTGATTGAGACTTTCAAAATGAGCTCCTTCAGGTCTTGAGGGACAGAAGTAATTTTGTAAAAGCCTAATGTTTTTGAGGGAATGTGTCCAATGAAAGAAACCTTAAGTTGTTAAGAATGATACACTCCCTAGCTTCCCCAAGGAATTGATAAGGGTGATAGCTAGTGGTCTTCTTGAATAGTATATATTGCTTGTGAATGCTATATCTATGGCATAAGAGTACTCAGTACCCAGCGTTGGTCTGTCTCTCTGATTAATCCGTGAGTGTATAAGACAAGCAAGTGGTTGGTGTCTACGTAGCAAGTACTTTTGTCACTTTTTTATCACTGTTTTACTACCAACTATAAGGAAGGACAAACGCCAAAAACATTAGTTTTTACAAAAAGAAAACTATCATTGGAGGTTGCTTTCAAAGATAAGAAAAATGAGACAATATGATTCTAAACGTTAGCCATAGCTCTTTTAACTTCAGAAGCCGTTCACTACAAAAACACTATAAAAGACATTTTGTTCGTCCCCGTGTGTCATCGTATAAAATCATGGATCAAAAATAAAACTGAAGATATTAAATTGATACAAACACCATATTATCTACTCCATTTTTTAAATTTCTAAAGATTTTGTAGTGAATGGTATCCAATTTTAACTCCCATAGCAAAATATTTTTTATTCTGGTAGGGCACGAAAACGTAAGATCAGATAAGTCAGATTTAAAGTAAAAAATAAAAACACAGCATTCATAGTTTTACGTTTCGTTTAATGAGTGAAATAAGTAGAGCCCACTCTTGAAAGGTTGAAAACACCTCTGTAACGCCACTGGAGTTATAGATGTATATTTACAGAGATAATCACTTAACATATATGTAGATGGGAGCACCGGTAGCGAGGAGATTGAACTTATTTTGAATTAGTTTAAGTTTATGGCGGTTATCTGATACTTTTAAACGAGCAATTCTTGTATATATATATACAAGAACTCGGGTTTTATTTGGGTATATATATATATACCAAAAAAAACCCGAGCAAAGCTCGGTCTTCCACGTACTTACCTGAGCAAAGAACATTCAAGCGTAAAACATTATGGTTCGATCATAAGCCTTGTATGACAAAAGATTATATGATACCTAAAGGGCATTTTACTTGAGAGGTTAGTTAAATTATAGAGCCGGTCCTTAATGAACGCGACTCTGTCTCATGTTATTAATATACGTGGTGAATATCATTCTAGATACGAAAGTCACTCATAGGTACTTGAGCTTCTTTTCCCAAGGCGATTCCTTGGGAAAAGAAGCTCAAGTACCTATGAGTTGACGGTACAATGTGGATTGCATTAGCTTCCTGCTTCGAAGAACTCGGCTCATTGGGATGTTGGCGTTGGCTCTCCCGCAGGTCCGAGTGTAATGTATTGCTATAATGTTCTCGGGGTTGATATCGATTTTTCATTCGCGACAAGTCACTGAGTTCTTTGAAGGATAGTAAAATTAAATTTTATTTTATTATTCTACAAAAACTAAAAATTTTATGTAAAAATGTGCAATATTCACATAAATATGAAAAAAATCGTCATAAAATAATATTTCATTCGAGCACAACAGTTTAAAAATTTCGACGTCACTTTGACAACTATGATTTCAAAACGCTGGTAAAAGCATAATCATAACAACAGGACCATGTGTTTAAACTTTAAGTCCATACATTAATTTTAAGCCATTAGTAGTGAAACAATTAAAAGAAATTATGTCCTTAAATCCGCTTAATGGTAAGAAAAACCCCAACCAGCAGATCTCATTTTAGAAGAAATGTAACACACAATATAACCTTGCTATTTATTTATGTAAACGGTTTTATATTTTATCCTTGAAAATAAAATCAGATTATCAGCTATATACCTTCACTTAATAAATAGCCGGTCCTGTAGTTGATTGACCTGAAATTATTGATTGATAAAAAATTAACTGCATAATCGGTCACTATAACAAACATTGAGATGCAACAAACCTGTATGAGTATGTCTTTATAATTACAAGAAGTTCTTTATAACAGAAACCGTAAGTTGAATATCGATAATTTTTTTTTCAGAACTTAAGCGTAGATTAGAAGATGATAGTACTCCTTTGCCTAAACGGCTATGTCTTGCAAAAAATGTTATATATTCAGCACACTTTCCCGCTGCTCCTAAGGAGAGAATTGTTGCAGACTGGTTGGAGAATATAATAGACACAAATGGCTTTACAAATAAAGAAATAAAAGATGTTATTGGATGGCTTCAGTTTTCCGATGACTTAACAAATGACCTGAAATGTAGACTGATCAAGGTAAGCTAATAATTTTAAATTAATACATGTTCCCGGTGTTATTTTTAATCACAGTTTGTGTTTATGTAAATATTATGGCTTCCACAGTTTATACAACAATATGCTTTCTCAAACCTACTTAAACACTAATAATTTAGAGATATTGAATGCTATTATCATGCAATAAAAATGCAATCACATTTCTACATGTTGGTGCCATGTCAACACTACACTTTTTATGTGAAAGTTCACAAGCAAGGTGAAAATGACTATGGGATGAGCCCACAGTCTTCTGTACTTCATTCGCCTTGGAAAACAAAAGTATAATAACACTTCCTCCTCCTTCCAGTCTTCTGTGGGGCTGTGATGTTTCCCTAAATGAATCCTCCCATTCATGCAGAATAATAACTGCTAATAACAACTTTTTGACATTGACATATAATTCCAAGTAATTAAATTAAACCAATTGCATTTAATGTATTTTTTTTTTCACAAACAAAGAGAACTAGCACATGGGATAAAATTATTAGTTATTTTTTTGTTATGCTACAGCCATACAACTTCTTACATGCGTACATAAGTATGCATATATGTGTTTTTCCTGATTTTACATTTTACACTTATAATTTTCAGGTGGTTTCACAGTACCTACGTAATAACCCGTTAAATCTTGATGACATACCAAATATCATTATGTTTCTTGAAAATGACAAAATATCAACTTGCTTTAACCACCAAATTGATGATTGTTTATTCATAACCAGCACTTTACTACAAAATCTACACAACCATGGCTCAGAAAAAAGTTACTTGGTTAAAAAATTGCTACAGAATCTGATAAAATACTTCAAAGAATGTAAAAAGAAATTAGAATTCGTTGTTAAATTGTTAGATGGAGAGAATCTAGAAATCATTTTTAGTTATCTAGATTCAGATAATCGGAACAGTGTTCTAGATGTTTGTCAAAATATCCTATTTCCAATTACGAAAAAATCGTTCTTTGCCAGTTTTCTTCAAAATCTAATACAGAAAGATAGCATAGAAGAACTAATAGCTCAAAAAGGAGACAGTATACAGTCAGTTATAAAAATTATGAGTGCCTTCTTCATGTTTCCGAAAGGAAGAACTGAACTAGATCCGAAATTCCTCATTGATTTTATTGATGTATTTGTAACTTGTTACCGTAGTGAGAGTCAGATAGTGTTTACATTCTATATTATGGTGGCCAACTCTCTTAACATGCTTCAACACTATTTAAATCCGGCAATGAGGATGCCTACTATAAAATTTCCAGAAAACGACGAGAAGATCAAACGCAATATTTTTCTGAAAATGTTAAATACACTTTTGCACAACGAAATCGATATAAGTGTAAAATTGACGGATACAGTGGGTGAACGGATAACTAAGGTAGCGTTGAAAAAAAACTTCATGTCATTCATACAAGCCACTTTGATGGGATTGTTGAAACTGCAAGGAAAACCTGACAAAGCAACATTGGAGATTGTTAAGATTGCCTTAAAATTAGACCCTTCCATTATAGAACAAAAGCTAGATTTAATAATGCCACCAATAATGATTGCTAAAAAGAGCTCCAGTGTCTTAGAATCATACATAGAAATGTTGAATTGTTTTATAGAAACACTGTTCAAACTAAGCAGAGGCACATTGTTTGTAAACCAAATTTTAACACATACAAAACTTAATTTAGAAGCTTTAAACGTAGAACAATTTGAACTAAGGCAGAAATTATCAGATGTTGTTGATGATAGTGATGCTATAGAAAAGATTAAGAATAAAATCATCACAGGAAATGACATTCTCCCAGAAGAATGTGTGGAAACATATGGAAAATGGACATCAGAGCTGATGTTTAGGCAAAATAAAGGATTACTGACATCTTTACAGAAGGATTTGGAAGAAAACTGCCTAATGATGCTTGAAGAGGGTTTCGTCAGTAAGTGTTTTATTCTTACTATTTGATTTATGATTTTTTTTATAAAGAAATAACTGTGTAATTAATAATAATGATAATTAAACAATTTTACTGCTTTAATCTGACTCTTCAGAAGTAAATAAATATTACACAACATTATCAAAGTCAAACCATACAAAGCAATGTGTTCATTGTGGATTTTCAAATTCTTTGTGGCTTTTTTGTGTTCATAGTACAAACTATGAACACAAAAAAGCGATGTGAAATGTTCATCACAAGAAAATTTTTCCAGTAGTAGGGATCAAACCCACAAGCTCTGGCACAGTAGAAAGATTCAATTTTCACTTCGTCCATCGGATCTTCGAATATAATATTCCATTTTTAACATATTCCAGGCCCTTCAATCATTACCCTGACGGAAATAATGTCCGCCATTTTGTCTAGTTTCTTTAGATTTTGCAAAATGGCGGATCATACAGTACCTCAACCAGTGGCCGAGGAATTTTGGTCGTCTTTTGAGAAGTTCGAACACGAGTGCTTAAAGAAATTTGGCGAATGTGTTTTGAAACTCAACTATGTAAGTTGATTAATTTTACCGACACCTTTATTGATATAATAAAAATTTATAATAACAAAATGTTTAGTGTATTAAACTTCTATATTACTTTATGCAACCTTTTATGTGTCAGTTAAACATAAATCATAAATTCGTTAGCAAAAAAGGAGACTGAAAGGCTAGCTAATACAAAGAATAATTGCAGATTTTGTAGTAGCGAGTTTTCATGATTGTTGGAAATCACCGGGAATTATAGATAATGTATGATTACTTAAGATTATTTAACATGCGTATTTCAGAACCCGCCATTGGTGTTATCGTTCCTGAAGCTTTGCTTGAGCTACTCCCAGTTAAAACTGCTGAACTTGAAATATGGCAACACAAGGCAAAAAGAGACGGAAATAACTGGTACAAATGAAGTCCTCGATATTAGCGCAATCTTGCCTTGTTTGAATTGCGACCAATGGACTTCACTCGCGCAAATGATACGCGAAGACGAATCTGTTATAATTTGGGTGCGTGAGTTTTTTTTTTACATCTTTCATTAGGGGCATTCCACGTGTAACGGTGTGGTAAAAAATTTTGATGTTTCCGATTGTATTAATATTTGTTTACGTTATACTTATGTATGTCTTCAATCCAGATTCAAAATATTTTTACAATATAAAATATTTTATACTGTAAAAATATTCCTAAACTGTGGTAGGGCAACGCAATAGTTTTCGCGTACCATAACCTCACAGAAGACCGGCGTAAAGTGAGAGTGTTATACTTCCGCATTTCGTCTTTCTCTTTCGTCACTTTATTAAAAGGTGGCAACGCATCTGCCACCCTACGGGTGTTGCAAATGTCCATGGGCGGCGATTATCGTTTAACATCAGGTGAACCGCCAACTCGTTTGCCGCTTTCTCACAATAAAAAAAAAACCTGTCCGTCTCACGTGGAATGCCAGATTATGGCAGATTATAATTAATTTCCCGCAGCTTGTGGAGATATTTATAATACTTTTTTATTCCTGGTTCACCTTGTTGTAACATATTTATAAATAAATTTCAGGATAATTTGCTTCTTATAAAAACGATGACAATCGAATTGTTCAACGCCAATGACCCAGAGAACTGTCACAGTCATATTGTCACAGAAATCAAGACGCATCTAATAAAGCAGCTGTCCGCATGTCCAGACGTTATTTCGAATAACTCCTATTATACTAGAGGACTGTTCGCTAATTTGGATGCTAACCAAGTGAAATACCTATCGAAGGCACTAGTAAAACTTTATGTGAAGGGCGAACGATATAATTTGTTCAAGGATGTTGCCATAACGAGAAACGGCGCTCTATCGAACGCGCTCCTTATCGAAACGTCGAAAGCTATGTTAAAATTTTTCGACAACAGCAACACGCTCACTAAAGCGATGAGTAAAGTCGAGTTCGACATTGTCAAATTCCTTGAAACTGTCAATGTCAAAGACTACTTCAACAGTCTGACAATGAACGCTGACGATGAGTTAGAAATAATCAAATACTTGGACATTATGAGAGACCTGCAGATATACAACCTCGAAGAGAGGTGTCAGTTGGCGGCAATCTTCGCTCTGTTGTCTACGAAAAAGTGTTGCCAGTCTAAAAAAATTCGCCGAAACGTCGACAGAATTCTTCAGGCGATTTTCGAACTCGGCCCGAAATGTCCGGATTTGTACAAGATATTCCCCGTCGATTTCATATTCGCGTTCGAAGACGGCACGATTCTCGATCTGTTGACTTTATCGCTGAAATCTACGAACGGTTCTTTGATCATCAAATGCCTGTTAGAGTCCGCTGTGAAGAAAGTGAAGAGCGATAGTGAAATCGTTGAAAGCTTAGTGGGGATCCTCCTCTCGAGGGAATCCCTGAACAGAATCACCAGCGTGGAGCACTTTGGCGATGTGGTATTCCAACTTCAGTGCACGATACTGCCGATAATTGCCAAAGAGAAAAAGGCCATAACGACGAGCGCTTTTAGGTCTATATTGGCTAATCTGCAGGAGAAGCTACACCAGGCAATGCTCGATGCGTTCATACGCGTCGATTTCACCAAAAACTGTGGTTCCGATAACGACTCGATTGCGGCAACACTGAACGCCATCGGCGCGTATTCGCTGACCCTGCTGAAGTATTGCGAGCTGACAGACGCCGAGGAGATAAAGAAGCTGGATTGTCTATGGTCCGGCTTGGAGTTCTTCGTTCGGAGCGCCGTGAGTATTAATCTACCATAGACAAGATCGTGTGGCAGACGAACACAACGTTTAGTCCCAAACTAAGCAACGCTTATACTATGGGTACTAGATAACAATTAAACACAATTGGACATACTTTTGTAAATAAATACACATTATAACCAGTGTCGGGATCAGAACGAATTTTAGTTTCTGCATCTCGACTTTCACTGAGTCCCATCCGTTTCACGGTCTTATGCTGCTACACAGATCTTCACTTATATTTTTTTGTTTTTATTGTTATGTTTACATTTATTTAAAAAATCTCCATTATCATTTTACATACTGTGTAGTGACATTATATCCTAAGTTATAAAATTGTTACCATTGTGATCAGACTGTGAATAAAAGTTTCTTCTTCTTCATAAATATATTTAGGCACTGGAAAAACACTGTTCATCATACAATATTTTTCCTGTAGCGGAAATCGAACCCACACCATCTGGCGCAAGAGACAGGGTCACTATCCACCACGCCAGTTGGGTCGTCATCATACATAAGTGGACCGTCAGCTCGCTTGCCACAAACAATAATCCCGACTATCTACGTCTACCCACTTTCAGATAAAGGCTGTCGAGGATCCGGGAACCAAACAGCACCACGTGGACACGTCCATTCAGCTCCTGAACATTGTTCTGCGTCACAGCAAGAAGTTGGAGACACACGATTTGTACCGGGACAAAGAGGCGCTCCACAGGCAAGTTAGCATTGCTAGTTAGGGGCCGTTCATTAATTACGTGAGGTGGTTTTAGATTTTTCTCCCCTACCCCTGGTGAGATTTCGTGAGATTTGGCTCAACCCCCTCCCCCGTGCCCGAATCCCACGTGAGATTTTTCTTATATCTGGCAAAAGCATGAGATTTATTCTTAAAAGGAAAAAAAAAAGATTAACATTTTTATTTAATTGTAAATCTAATAGTGACTACAAACAATAAAATTGTTAAATCGTTACTTTATTTATATATATATTTATATTTATGAAAGAATGTTCATTCTAATCCAGTCCAGCATGGCAGTGTGCAGTCTCAAGAGTCACTATGGGAACCAACATATCCAAATTATTTTCAGTAAAATCGTCTCAGACGATTCATCTGCACCTTCAACCTCCTTTAATCTTGTTAATTGTATTGAATATGATTTGGTTCCTGATGTTAAGTAAATACCGCCGCCCATGGACATCTGCTACACCCGAGGGTTACAGGTGCGTTGACAACCTTTTGAAAATTGGGCTCCGGCTACCTCACTCACCAGACGAAACGCGAAAGTATTTGTCATACTTCCACTTTACGCCGGTTTCTGTGAGGTCGTGGTACACGGACGAGCCTGCCCGTTCGTGCAATGGTAATATATAAAACAGAATTTAATATTTTTTTATAACAGATAAATCTGCCTCTCAAATCTCAATCATTTTTATATTCAAAATTATTAATATTTTAGAGATTTTTTTGTTTTTTAGTTTTACTTCCATTTTTTTAACTTAACAGCAACTCGTTTTCGTCGACGACCCGACTGCACATTAGAAAGTACCAGTTCCTCCGTTTTCAAATCCGCAGGCAAATATGGCGGTGCACCAAAGCCAGGGCGCTCGTAGTCTTCGGTGGGAAGTCCAGGAGACCGAATGACGGTCTACTGGAGGCGATGGCGGTGACCTTGAAGCATCTCGCCGAGGTCGCCTCGCTGGATTGTTTCTCGACGCAGTTCGTCGGCGACGTAATAAGTCTGGCGGCCTTGAAGGTGCGTTGGCGGTGGTGACCTTGGCCCGACTTGGTGGTGGTTTTTCTGTGTGATAAAGTGGCAGGCGAGCAGGCGGTTCACCTGATGTTAAGTGATAACCGATGGTACCCATGGACATTTGCAACAACCGTTGGGTATGCTGATACGTTGGCGTCGTTTAATAAAATTGGCTCCAGCTATCTCACTAGCCAGACGAAACGCGGAAAGGACATTCCCGTTTACGCCGGTCTTTTGTGAGGTCGTGGTACTTACCCGGATGGAACTGCCCATTAGTGCAACAGCCGCAGCTGTTGCGTGGCCCCACCACAGTGGAGTGGTGGTGTTGATGTAGGTTCGATACGAGCAATTGGTAGCTGTTGCACCGATGCGTATAAGAGTAGATCCCGGATACACATCGTTTTGAAAATGCAACTCGTTCCCAACAGAATAATCGCCCTGCCTATTATGTATAGGAAAGGTAAATGACTTAGAGCTAAGCAGCAGCAATTCGGTGTTAGTAAACTTTAATCCAAGATTCGTTCAGCGGTTTGAGTATTTAATGAAAAAAATCCGATTCCCGCCGAAATTTCAGAAACCCTCGGTGATACTAAAAAGCGAGACCGTAACCGACTCGCAGCTGACTTCGCACCGCACTGCCAGATACCTCCTGCAGCAATGCCTCAGGGCGAACATAGTCGGGCCGAAATGCGCCGCCCTATCCAAGCAAATGTACCGCGCCTGCAAAGCCCTGAAGCTCTGGATCCGGCGCCATTACGGCGGCGAGCGGAATAACAAGATGGCGGCTGGCGGCCCGCTCGAAAACAAGATGGCAGCTGACAGCGCGCCAGAAAACAAGATGGCGGCGCATCCGGATTTAAATGTAGAATCTGGACGCGTTCAGTCCATTGTGAAGGTGCAGGACGCAGTCTGCGAGATTCTGAGCGTCGATCTGGATATGGTGTCGGAGGTCGTGTTGGCGGCGAAGAAGGTTCTATGATTTTATTTATTTTTTTATTTTGAAAGTTTAAAAAACTACTTTATGATTATTTATAATTTTAGTGCTAATCTGCTTAAGATGAAGTATTGAATGTGTGTCTAATAGATAAATTGTAGAATGATCTTCTGCACTGCGGGTTCGAACCTGCACCTTCTAGGTCACGCGCTCAAAGTTCTAGCCAACTGAGCTAAGCGGTCGTTGAGCTAACGACGCGAAAATCTTGTCAGCTATCTACTGCTATTTTTGCATTTTTTAGCAATGCTTGGCGCCACCTAGTAGTGCCTTTGATATTTAAATTAAGGAATCCATTTAAATGGCAAACGCGAAACTCGTTCAAAAATGTCGTTTGAGTGTCGGTATCCTGTAATAGCCACTCGACTGTAATTGACTTTTTTTATTTTAATAACTCTTAATTTATCGGTACTTCCAGATGCCCCTCGACTACAGATTCCTCGACGCGATATTCGAGCTCCAGCACGTGGTGCAATACATATTGGGCCGTGGCACTATCGACGCAAGGTGCGAAATCGGTTGGCGCGCGTTCTTCTCTCTCCACGAGGGCTGTATGCACGTGCTGAACAATTTGCTGCTATCCAGAGAGGAACTTTTGGAGGACAGGTCGGTGACCATTTGTTTCTTTTATTAAGGGTGATGAACAAAAGATTAAGTGATTATAATAGACATACACAGAGAAAGCTTCATAAAAACGTTTGGCCAACAAAGTGATTAAAATAGACATCCACAAAGACAGCTTCATAAAAACGTTTGGCAAGCATTTATAAAACTGAACGTTATTGCTCATGCCATCATGTGCAATATAAGTTTCGCTTAGTAAAGCCAAATTTCCAATAGGTAACGTATACAAAAGCGAATAACAACGTCGTACGCGACTGTACACCTATGTGTGGCACGAGCGAGAGCGATTGCGGATTTTCTCTGCGGCGCGAAAGAGAGAGGCGATATCCTTTGTCTTGCTCGCCGCCTATAGTCTCCAATACGTATATAGCCAGTACTGAACATTACCGATATATATATATTTCCAAAACGTTTTTAATTTAAACTTTTATCAATTTTTCTTCTTCTTTTATAATTTTCATTTATATATATTTATTTTGTACTTTATGGGTTAAAGCCATGCATCTAAATGAAACTTTCTCTTGGAAAGGTTCACTGTCCAACGGAAATATTCAAGCGTGCTTGTCCCCAAAAAATTTAAAAAACTAGTATTGTAAACTCCTGTAAATTTCTGGGCAGTGCTGGTATACATTTAAATCTTCAACAACTTGTCTAATTAAAGAGAAATTCTTATTACGTTATTTTTAGTAACCTTTAAATCCGGCCCTGCCTCGCGTCGATTATAAAACTAAATTACTATTGTATCCACTTTTTTCGTTATTATTCACGTGATAGTGCTAAACTGCATAATGCTAGCGAGAAAATATGGCCACAATAGTAATTTATTTATTATTATATGTTCTAATTTACTCAATTAGTATTCAATATTTTTTAAGAATTTATTTTTGTTAATTAGTTTGTAATAAATAATTTATATGAATACAAAACAAATTATACTCACAGATGGCCGTGTTACATGCAGTGCTACAAAGCCCTGATTCTGTGCCTCTGTGAGAGAGCCGCATCCCTGGAAAAGACGGACATGTCGTCAGAGCACAAGATGGCGGAGACAGCACATTCTATCGAGAAGTACAATACACATCCTTTTGAATAACGAATTCTTTGGCCAAAATTTATTTATTTTCATGACTCCTAGGCGCAGTTGCCAACGAAATTATGTGACCCACAGATAGTTGTTTCGCATGGGTGTATGTCCGCGTGAAATTTGCATATGTAAAAGGTCCTTACAACACAGGATAATATTATCCTACAGTAGAGGACAATGTTTTCGAACGGAAGACTACAATAGAATAGATATTTCTAGGACTGACAACCGGACACGAGTGGTCTTATAATGGTTCCTTTTTTTACCTTTTAAGGTACAGAACCCAAAAATAATCAAAATTAAATAAGTTCCACTGATTGATAAACGTAAATGTATGCATTTCGACTTGTCAACGTATTCGCGCCTTGCAGAAATAATACCACAATACTAAAAAATAATCACAAATTTGTTCGTACTTATTTTAGTTAATTCATTGCAAAATTTATTGCCCAATGAAACTGACCCACCAAGCCAACTTTTTTTTGTTATTTTTTTACTCGCAAGGAATATTGAACCTACATTTTTATGCCTCAACAGATTGACCCAGTCGATATGCAAACGCAAGGCGCACGTATCCCGCATCGCGGCTTACGCGGTAGCGGACATCTGCGCATGGTTGGAGAGGACGGCCCCGCCGAAATCCGTTAGGCAGCATCTCGAGAATTCCGTCGCCCTGTTGATACAGACCTCCGACTCTACTTACGCGATGGCGTTCCTCAAGAGGGCATTGGCCGGCTCCATCGGCCAGATGACATTGGCCAACATGTATTCGATGTACAAGAGATACCACAAATACGTCGGTAACGCCTGAACGCTGTATTCGACCTGATGTTTACAGCCAATAAAAACGCTTAGACCAATAAAAGATTATATTTACAAAAAACGCATATGTTTATTTTTAAATTGTTATCCCTGCATGAAGTATTACGGGCTGATACGTGAGAAAAGACTAATAAATTATATATTCTTGGATTTTATTGTTACACCCTCGGTTATTGGCGATATTTATCAACAATTACGTTGATATTTTATTTTTGTGAATCAGTCGCTTAGACACCAAAAATATATAACTTATGTAATAATTGACAAATTAGTTCTAATATTTTGTGAATGAATTCAACAAAATAATCAAAAGAGATTTGTAACAGGCAGATTGTTTTGAAATAAATTTAAATAAGACTTTTTCGTTTTCGGCAGCTAAAATGAAACGATAAAAATGAAATTTAAAACTATGTACATATCTCTATATAAACTTAGGTTAAAAGAAAAGGTAACAATAAGTTTATATTTAGTTTAATTTTTGGCAGATTGTTAAGGGACCTTTTTCAGACGCGGTAGGACCACGCAAGTGTTCACTGTTGCAAGAACAGGCAGGTCCGTCCGAGTAAATACCACGTGTACATTACAAAATATGGACGCAAGTACCCACATATATTTTTTATTATTTAATAAATTACGTCTAGAGACAAATATGATATTTATGAGGTTTTTGATAACAGAGTAGGTACATGAAATATAACAAATAACAATTGTCATATATAATGATATTCATTTTTCCTTTGTTTTATTTAATAATTATTTTTGTATTTTGTGTAGTAACGTTTTAACACTCGATAACTTGCAAAGTAAAAACTTCAAGTCTGAAAGCTCAACTGAAAGTCCTCGACATCGAATTACACACTATTACCGTGTGATATAAAGGTCATGATACCTACACAAAAATTAAATTGTTATTGAAATTACCGTGACTATAATTATGCCTTTCAAGCGTTGACTTCTTCTATATATTAACACGTGAAGCAGAAACTTTGTACCCCTTTTTAAGGAAATTGCGCAGACGAACGAGTTAGAAATTTCCCACACTTATAGTTTATATAGAGGAGTGCAGAATGCTATTTTTTTTTAACTTATACACAAAAAATACATTAGGTAAATCAATCAAAAAACATTACACACACTACCATGTATAATTAATTATGGTCGAATTTCTACCACTAGGTGCCCACTAGTTCAATAAATCAGAACGTTTTTATATCATTAATTATATACAAGATTTAAAATGTATTTTGCGTATTAGACTATATTATTAACGCAATCAATAATTATATTACGAAGTCACCAATGCTTACATCAGAAAGCGCCAAAATTCAAATCCGTGCCTGACGTTCAGGTAGTATCCGCCTGCCCATATATGGGCATTTATTGAATACTCAATGTTGATTGGACCAAATATCATCGTCATCAGTGAGTCACTTTTTAAGTCATAATCATATGTGTGGAAGTCTCCAATTCAGTGATGCACTTCACTGAAACGGCTCATTCGTACTTATCTAATCTTATCAAAGCGAAAGCGGCTTATATATCGAGATTCTTACAGTACTCGTACATTGATAGAGCATAGAGCAAAAAAGTTCACTCATATTTAAAAAGTTGTCGTCTTGTGGCACACATAAGTAAAAAAATAAGTTCCAAATTTATGATACAATTTTCATAACATTAAAACAATTATATTTTAAATATCGGTATTTTAAAAATTGTTTATATTTTGAAATAAAAAAATAAATATCTCATAATTAAATCAGTGTGTTGACTCAATGAAACAATTTTGACACATGCGCTCATTGGTCGACGCAAAATAACGTATAGCCAACTCTCAGATATTCAGTGTCGTTCCGGTCGCCGTTGTGGAGTCGGTGAATTTAGTAGTGGAATTTTTCGTGTTATAACATCATAAAATGGTAAGTGAAGAAAAGTAAATTTCAGTGTTGGTTTACTGTGCTGTGCCTTACTTTCGCAGGAAGTGGTGTAAAATATTTATAATACCCTATTTACATTGTAATACCTTCTCGTCAGGACCGGTGCCGCCATATTTCGCACAACCCTTTCCCGAGTTCGCACGCCTTTTCATAAAAATAGTCATCACCGCTCAATGCTTTTATGCCACGTGTAGTGATTTTGCGTTATAGAGGTTTACGTGCAGCGGTCCGTGACGTCGCCGTGCGGGTCAGAGAAATTTATAGCCCTTTCGGTGTTGGATTTCACGCTTGTTGGAAAGGTTACTGTCTCCCAACGCCTTTTATGACGAACAGGCGCACCGGTTGGCTCGCAAAAGCGCTGTTTTCCGCGTCAAAATAAGCCGAAAGCGTGTTAGGTCGGTTATCGGACGCCCGATTCGTCGGGGGCATCGAACTTGTGGCATTGCATAGCCGCGCAATCGCATACCGTTTGCCCATATATGGTATAGCGCCCGCAGTGGCCTGTCACATCCATTTCATGTCTATTTCGGGGTGTATAAAGGCGTCTGACGACAGTGGGCGCGTCCCGCATAAAACTTTCTCGTCGATATTCTAACGATAAAGCAATGTCAAGGTTGTTGCATAAAGTATGCTTCCATATAATGCGAATTATCGATTTCCTTATCTTCTCGTAATTGTATTAGTCGTTCCACAGTCGTCGTTTGCCTTATTTCATTATTGATCACAGCCAATGGACATTCGCCTTTCTATGGTGATTCACGATCACGACCCGTTGATCGCCTTCAGATGAATCATTGCTTTAAAGGTTACCTGCAGTGACGTTTCTCTCAACTTTTTAAGTAAAAATTTAACTTGTATGCTAACCTATATGTCGTGTCTTTTTTTAGTGTATTACCGTCAAAATTTTTTTTCTTAAGACGCGAAATAGTGGTGGTTGTCTTATTGGAATTACTGCCATTGCTTTTAGTTTGGTACAATAATATAATTTATTATTAAAGCAACCCAAAATATCAAGTGACTTTAATTATAAGTTAAAAAGAACTAGAAGCTTTAATATTGCAACATTTTTCACATAAACTTCTTATTATGAATCAGATTTTTGTAATAGGTATTACTACACCAGTATCTTCACCACGCATCAACATAGGATTCAAAGAGACTAAAGGTTTATTATATGTATTTGAAACTATGTTATAAATTTCATTTAGGATTTAATTTATCAAATACATTAAATATAATTGTAAACTCAACAGAGTCAAAATAATTGTCCATTAATTTATTTAAAAATCTCCAATATTGTTAGAATATTTTTTAAAAGCATGTTTAATGTTCATAGAATATTTGAAATATTCTCAACAGAATTATTCTTTGACAGATTTCAATTCCAGTATATTTGTTGAAACTTCACTGAAAAAGCAATGACAACATGTGTGTACTGTGCCAAGACATAAATCCAGTGAAATTAGAATGAAGTTCTGCATATTTTTAGAAAACCCGAACATTATGTTCACATGATTGATTGAATATAATTTAATGTCACGTAACAGGATGATACACACATTTAACAAGTCATATGGTGCATGACCTGTATATAGTGACATCAACACTGTTGCAAGCACCTAGAAGCCACCTGCGTTGTCTCACTTCCATAAATGTTTAATATCAATGAAATTTATTGTCATATATCTAAATATCTATAATTTACATCTTAACTATGAAACTGTATTAAAAATGGTACTTAAATGTACCATTTTTTGTTAACATTGAGTCTTTAGTCTTCGGATGCAACAAACTATGCATTATGACCTAATGACAATTGACGGCTTTTAAATATGTATTACCTTTTTAGGTGGTGTCGCTATGTCATCACTTAATTGAGATATCCCTGATAAAAAACAAACTACTAGCTCCATCACATTGATCAGTTGACTTATTAATTAACACAAAACATCATTTCAATATGTAATTTATATCAAATTTAATTTAATAATGTCAATGACTCACCCACCACCTTTGTCAGTTTGTCTCAACATCCTGCTGATGAGTTAAGTGATGAATAATTCATAAAAAATTTTATAAGGTTGATGATGGAAAAAAAATCTTATGAATATTGATTTTAGTTGTGCCCATACCATATGTCGTAAATATCAATTTCGTATGGTTTCGTTTGACTGCGAATTTAATAAACTAGTTAATGCTTTATGCATCCCTTAACTTCATCTATGATGACTTTGTGGCGCAGTTGTCAAGTTATTGGCTTTTGCGCCGGGTGTCGAGGGTTCGATTCTCACACGAGAACTATTTGTGTGATTCACAGATAATTGTTTCTGATCTGGGTGTCTGTCCACGTGAAATGTACCTATATTAAAAACGTTCGTATAACACAGGATAATGTTATCGTATAGTAAGGGGCAATGTTTTCAAGGAAAGACTACAATAAACCTGTCTAGATCGCAGTGGTCCTTGGGAACGACCCGACCCCGCCCACACAAAATACAATACACTACTGCATCAACACCACTAGTGTATTTAGTGAGATCTCTCGTCATGAGATGCTATCACAATGTCACTTTGTGCACAGACACTTCAATCAGTAGCTTGCATTAAAATATTTTAACGATGAGCGATGCTCATCTGTGAACAGCGTGAATCTTATTATAACAATAACGTCCGGTTTCTGAAGGACTGATTAACGTAAAAATCACCTAATTCAACTGTCAAATAGCTTGTTAAATGTCATTTGTGTTGCCAAACCGATGGTTAAACACTTTTTCAAATGAAATTGTTTTTTTTTTTATTTATTTAACAAGCCATTTGACAACTGATTAGTTAATTTCTAGTTCAGTAAGAGTAATAAGTGATGAACTTCCAGTTAAATGATAACCGATTCCATATGACATGAGGAAACTCAACAAAATGCTTTAATTTCCGCACAATTTGTCAGCGGACGACACTGGCCGATTAATTAGCGGGAAACGATTTACCGCGAATCGTTCGAATTATACCGTAGCGAGATGATAGCATGCAAAATATTTTGAACCCTATTGCCTTG